AGGACCTGAAAACTCCTTAGAGACTATGCACAATAAGCTGGCTAATAAATTGCAGTCCTGAAACTACATAAAAACCTCACACTCTCACACAGGAGTTAGCTGCACTGGGTAGCTGTACTGACAAATAGAAGATGAAGCATGATGAACTTACTCTAGCATATAATGAGCTTAATAAGGAACATAAGAGCCTTGGTGCTGCTTTTAATCACCTGCAGTTGCAAGTGGAGAATTTAGACAATCGGAAATAGGAGGAAGCTACCACAGACTTAACTTCTGCAGTGCTCTGTCTCTTTAAATCATTACTCCCAGAAAAGACCCACGTGGCTTTACCTGCAAATGAATACTTGGGGCCCTGCTCCCCAAGCCACCTGCTGATAACTCACCAGATATTATAATTTTGTGTCTCAAAAGACTATCTGGTTTAGGAGAACATCTTGCAAGCTGCCAGGAATACAAAGAATATCACACACTGATGGCTGCAAATTGCAGATTTTTCTGGATATTTCTCCAGCCACTCTTGACAAGCGCCATCAACTAAAAGAGATCACCTTGGTTCTGGCTAAAGTAAAGCATTTGCTATAAATGGGGTTTCCTTTTTAAACTTGTTATACAGACATAATGGCAGCCCCTCTTAGACCTCCTTCCTATCCAAGACCATAGATAAATGCAGGATACACCTTAAAGCCACTTGAATCTGTTACAGGTGTCCCATGGAACTTTTTTTTTTATTTCGGCTGCTTTTCATTTTTGTTTTGTTTTTTAGTCTGATTTTTTTTTTTTTTTCACAGTGACTTTCTGGCCAATGCCACTGTGTTTGAAGACAACGATTTAATTATCAATACATAATTTTTTCTACCTGATGATTTCTATCCTCCCAGGTTACAGTATGTTGGGAGACCACCTCTTCGCTACCTCTTCTTTGATTTTGCACAGCCTTTTGGTTATCGCAAGAATACAGGCTGTATCCCACCATGTCACCACTATGCTTCCCCACTCAATCAGTATCCAACCTGGCCTTTTGGCCTCTTTATAAAAACTCTTGTTTTGATTTTTCTTGGATATTATGTACTTTTTTGTGGTAAACCAAGTTGTGTACCCCAGATTGAGTTTGGGACTGTTGTGTCTCATAGTACAAGTTGTTTTTGTTGCTTGTCAGGACTCTATGTTGTTTTTTTTTCTGTAACTTGTTTTTGATTCTATGTTATGATGTTATGCCTCTGTTTTAGTCCTTTCAGGACACTATGGTTTCTTTGTGTTGTTGATTGCTATTTTCCATATATTGTCTGCTACCATTGTTCTATATTGAGTTACAGCTTTATGCAATGCTGTTTTTTTGGTGTACAGAGCTGTGGAGACTCCCCCCCCTCCCCCCCCAATCCTTAACACCCTTAGGAGAACCTCATTTACTCTATAGGCCCCAATTTTGATTTATCAATGGTTTTACAATTGTGGCACATAATATACAGGGTTCTCCAAATAAGATATGGGAAGGACTTTTTTTTTGTAATATAAAAATTGAGGGCTAAGATTCTCCTTCCTACAAGAAACTCATTTCTCATCCACTACATACTCTAGAGTTTTCCATAAAGCTTTTCCTCAAACACATTATACGCTTTTATTCCTCCAAAAATGTGGTGTGGATATTTTATCCACCATTCTGTTCCTTTTAATATAAGTTGGCAAAATAGTTGCGGCAAAAAGTGGAATATGAAAAATATGCTGCTGGCCAAAACAATCAGATAAATTGTGTACAGATAAAACATAAATAATTGCCGTGATAAGCCATCATTATTTACAAATATGTACATATGTAAAAGAAAAAAGTGTATCAAAAAAACCATCAACATATTTAGTCTCAAATCAAGTCCAAATAAAGAGAATGTTGAAAAAAAAAGTCCCAATATTCTGATATACAATATGTAAAATCAAATACTGTGTGTCTTCAAGTAAATAAAGTGCACCACCACCATATATTGGCAGGACTCCTACCAGAATATATGGACCCTTAAACTAATAAGAATCATAAATGCATTAATGTAATGGCTTAGAGATGTGTATCCACCATTGCGCTCAAGCAGAAGAAAGATGCTGGACAACCAATATTAATGGGAGAATCCCTTCAGGCTATAACCATCCTTCGCCTATATGTCTCTCCAGTGCCTGCAATCAATCAGCCCATAAAGGAAGAAAGAAAGGAGAGCAAACATTGCATAAAAACCATATGAACAATTGTATTCAAAGTATTAAAGTCCATTTCACATTTGGGTAGAAAAAAAAGCACTATGTAACAGATATATAGAATCTGGTCCAGGGAACCAATCCAACTTCCTGGTAAGCAAAAACAGCGTGATGACGTCAGTAACGCAGTGTCAGGGCTCTCCGGGTGTGACCAGAGGTGTGTGACTGACGCAGGGAAACGCAGGCTTCAGATATGTTATAAACAATGTAATTTATTAACACTAACAATACAAACATAAACGCAGTGCAATACTAAAACATTAACACAGTGCAAACAAACCAAATCCAACCACCCACAGATAACGTAACATACAATGCAAGCGTCGTTAGGCAGGCCGGTGTCAATATCAATCAAGAGGTAGGTACAGGGGGAGCAAGCAGAGAATGGTCGGAGTCACAAGCCAGGTTTCAGCAGGTAGCGGGCAGCGTGGTACAGAGGGTCAGGCAGAGGAGAATGGTCAGACAAGCCAGGGATCAGAGCAGGGTCAGCAGAGAATCAGACAGGAACAGGGAACAGGGAGCAGGAACAGGAACAGGGAGCAGGAACAGGATACAGGGGCCCAGGAGAAACACAACACCAAGGCAGAGTCTGCAGGTCTGAATGTCCCTTAAATACACCCAGTATAATTAGTTCCAGGTGTTTGACTGGCTGCAAGGTTGGAGTCTCTGATTGCTGGGGAGCACCGCTGGCCAGCCCTGGTACTGCTGCTCATAAGGCAGCTGGAGTCCCACTATTGCTGGCCAGTCCATTCCTGACAGTACCCCCCCCCCTCAAGGAGCGGCCTCAGGACGCTCCAAACAGTCCTAGCTGGGCAAAATGTTCCCACCAGCCCGGGTCAGGTAACTGGCGGGATATCAAAGACTGGCACACTGGGCATGGACTCCGGGCAGCGGCACTCACCGAGCAGAAGGCACATCGGGCTAGGACTCCGGGCAGAGGCACACTCGGGCTGGACTCCGGGCAGAGGCACATCGGGCTGGACTCCGGGCAGAGGCACATCGGGCAGAGGCACACCGGGGCAGAGGCACACCGGGCTGGACTCCGGGCAGAGGCACATCGGGCAGGGACTCCGGGCAGAGGCACCATCGGGCAGGACTTCGGGCAGAGGCACATCGGGCAGGACTCCGGGGCAGAGGCGCCACATCGGGCTATGGATTCCGGGCAGAGGCACATCGGCAGAGGCACACCGGGCAGAGGCACATCGGGCAGAGGCACTCGGGCAGAGGCACATCGGGTGGACTCCGGGCAGAGGCACATCGGGCCGGACTCCGGGCAGAGGCACATCCGGGCCGGACTCCGGGCAGAGGCACACATCGGGCAGGACTCCGGGCAGAGGCACATCGGGCAGGACTCCGGGCAGAGGCACATTGGGCCGGACTCCGGGGCAGAGGCACATCGGGGCCGGACTCTGGCAGAGGCACATCGGATTACCAGGCGATAGCAGCAGGCAGCGGGCACCCCCTTGGCGGGCAGCAGGCAACCGGGCCCCCAGGCGGAGCAGCAGGCACCGGGCCCCCAGGCGGAGCAGCAGGCACCGGGCCCCCGGGCGGGGCGACCGGCATTCGGGTCCCCAGGCGGGGCGACCGGCATCGGGCCCCCCTCAGGCGGTTAAGCGGCGGGTTTCCGGGCCCCCAGGAGGGGCGACGGGCATCAGGGCCCCCAGGCGGGGCGACAGGCATCGGGCCCCCAGGCAGGGCGACAGGCATCGGGCCCCCAGGCGGGGGCAACAGGCATCGGGCCCCCAGGCGGGGCGACAGGCAATCGGGCCCCCAGGCGCGGAGCGGTTTGTTAAATGGGCGCCGGACCCCAGATGGAGCGACAGGTCTCGGGCCATCAGGCGGAGCGGTGGGCGCCGGACCCCCAGGTGGAGCGACAGGTCTCAGGCCCTCAGGCGGAAGCGGCGGCGGGCGCTGGTTGGTCCCCCAGGTGGAGCGGACAGGTCTCGGGCCCTCAGGCGGAGCGGAGGGCGCCGGACCCCCAGGCGGAGCGGACAGGTCTCGGGCCCCCTCAGGCGGAGCGCGACAGGTCTCAGGCCCCCAGGCGGGGGGTGCGGGCGCCGGACCCCCAGGCGGAGCGGCGGGCGCCGGACCCCCAGATGGAGCGACAGGTCTCGGGCCCTCAGGCGGAGCGGTGGGGCGCCGGACCCCCAGGTGGAGCGACAGGTCTCAGGCCCTCAGGCGGAGCGGCGGGCGCTGGTCCCCCAGGGTGGAGCGGACAGGTCTCGGGCCCTCAGGCGGAGCGGAGGGCGCCGGACCCCCAGGCGGAGCGACAGGTCTCGGGCCCTCAGGCGGAGCGACAGGTCTCAGGCCCCCAGGCGGGGGGCGGCGGGCGCCGGACACCCCCAGGCGGGAGCGGCGGGGCGTGCCGGACCTACCAGGCGGAGCGACAGGTCTCGGGCCCCCTGGCGAAGCGGCGGGGCACCGAGTCTCACCAGGCACGACAGTGGGCTCCGAGTCAACTGGCATGACCGCTGGCATCTGGGTCAGACATTGGATCGTCTGGCTGGACAGCGGGCAATCGGGTCTCCAGGCATCAGGTCATTTGGCTCCAACAGCGGGCACCGCGTCATCTGGCAAGCAGTGGGCTCCGAGTCAACTGGTATGACCGCGGGCACTAGGGCAGACATTGAATCGTCTGGCTGGACAGCGGGGCATCGGGTCACCAGGCATCAGGTCATTTGGCTCGACAGCGGGCACCACATCATCTGGCAAGGCAGTGGCACCCGAGTCACCAGGTACGACAGCGGGCTCTGAGTCAATTGGCACGACAGCGGGCACCGGGTCATCAGGTACCAGGATTGTCTGGCTCGACCAGCGGGTATCGGGTCACCAGGTATGACAGCGGGCACCGGGTCATCAGGTACCGGATTGTCTGGCTCGACAGCGGGCATGGGTCACCAGGTATGACAGCCGGGCACTGGGTCACCAGGCATCAGGTCATTTGGCTTGCCAGCGGGCACCGCGTCATCTGGCAAGGCAGTGGGCACCCGGGTCACCAGGCATTGGATCGTCTGGCTCGACAGCGGGCATCGGGTCACCAGGTATGACAGCGGGGCAATGGGTCACCAGGCATCAGGTCATTTGGCTCGCCAGCGGGCACCGCGTTTCATCTGGCAAGGTAGTGGGCACTGAGTCACCAGGTATGACAGCGGGCTCTGAGTCAATTGGCACGACAGTGGGCACTGGATCAGGTACCCGATCGTCTGGATCAACAGCGGGTATCGAGTCAACTGACCTAATTAGGATCATCAGGCTGGATCAGTTCATCAGGCTGAGTGGAGGCACCAGGCTGAGTAGAGGCACCAGGCTGAGTAGAGGCACCAGGCTGAGTAGAGGCATTCGGCTGAGTAGAGGCATCCGGCTGAGTAGAGGCATCCGGCGGAGTAGAGGCACAGGCTGAGTAGGAGGCACCAGGCTGAGTAGAGGCATCAGGCTGAGTAGAGGCATCAGGGTGGGTACAGGCACCAGGCTGGGTTACAGGCACCAGGCTGAATAGAGGCATCAGGCTGAAATTGGCGGGTGCCGAGGCACCAGGCTGAAATCCACGGAAAGGCCGGTTCTCAGAAGGCAGGGCTCACCGGTTTATGGATACTGGCAGGGATGGTATTGGTTGGAAAGAATTTTCGCACTTTTTTCTGGTTTTAACTTACTGGGGCACTGCAATGTAAACGCAGGTCTGCAAATGAATGGAGCAGCTGGAGTCAGAGAAGACTGGAGGATGGAACAGGAGAGGGAGCAGTTGCTACAGAGGGCTTTTTTACAGGGTTAAAGGCAGGATAGGTGCAGCGAGTGGGAACAGGGTACTGACATGCGGTAGATAGCAGGGCAGGAGGAGCTGTTGGGAATGCAGGAATAGAGTTTTGAGGAAATAGATTAGAAGCAGGACTGGGTTTTGTAAGCTGACTGAGGCTGGGTGCAACAAGTCTGTCCATGTCTGCAGTATGGGTTGAACAAAGCTGAGCTTACACAAAGCCTGTCTGGTCAATGACTGCAGCTGCGTTTATACAATCTCTTAGTACCTGTGGCGAACATGTGGAAATAACGCTCCAGAAAGTAACCCACATCATCCTCTAAATAACCACACAGGGACTCTACCTGGTCTGCCACTAAATGGGTGGCAAAAATTCATCCCTGCATTCGGGTGTGAGTACCAGATGAAACCAACTCAGCACAAACCTCAATCAAAGGCTGCACCTCAGAGAACTCTGTGCCTGATCTACTAGAACATGAGCGAGGCCGTATACATTCTAGCAGTTCATCCCGGGGTATACTCCTTCAGAGTTTGATAAAGCATACTCCCTGTCATCAAACACTAGCAGATATAAATACGCAACCTCATCCAGATCCATCCTTCCCATCAACAAAACCAAGATGGCTTCCCTGTGCAGCCACTTCTGGTCAGGATTGGCCTTGGTGTAATGTCAGGGCTCCCGGGTGTGACCAGAGGTGTGTGACTGACGCAGGGAAACGCAGGCTTCAGATATGTTATAAACAATGTAATTTATTAACACTAACAATACAAACATAAACGCAGTGCAATACTAAAACATAACACAGTGCAAACAAACCAAACCAACCACCCACAGATAACAGTACATACAATGCAAGCGTCGTTAGGCAGGCCGGGTCAATATCAATCGGGCAGGTAGGTACAGGGGGAGCAAGCAGAGAATGGTCGGAGTCACAAGCCAGGTTCAGCAGGTAGCGGGCAGCGTGGTACAGAGGGTCAGGCAGAGGAGAATGGTCAGACAAGCCAGGGATCAGAGCAGGGTCAGCAGAGAATCAGACAGGAACAGGGAACAGGGAGCAGGAGCAGGAACAGGGAACAGGGAGCAGGAACAGGATACAGGGCCCAGAAGAAACACAACACCAAGGCAGAGTCTGCAGGTCTGAATGTCCCTTAAATACACCAGTATAATTAGTTCCAGGTGTTTGACTGGCTGCAAGGTTGAGTCTCTGATTGCTGGGAGCACCCGCTGGCCAGCCCTGGTACTGCAGCTCATAAGGCAGCTGAGTCCCACTATTGCTGGCCAGTCCATTCCTGACACGCAGACTCCACCTGACACATTTCATCACAAATGACGTAGTCTGGGGTATGGAAGCTACATCATCGCCGCTGTTTTATAGAGCCATCCAAAGAGGGGAGGAACCATCCATTAATCTCGTAATGTAATAAAAAATGGCCACCATAATAACAAGACCTCGATATGGATTAACCAAAGCTCGGTTTGAAATCAAACAGGATCCCTAAAATAGTCCAAACCTCGGTTTGGGATAACATAACCTCCCATATGGCGACCGATATTAATAGTCATAAACATACATATATTAAAAAACCCATGCTAGATCTATATCTTTATAAAAGACAAAAAAGTAAGAATTATATTCTGAAACAAAAATGTAGATCCAACCCGTTGTTAACATATTTTCTAGCTGTATAACAGTCTTAAAGACCGTATCAAAATATTTATTTATTTTAAATATAAAAATATTTTATAAAATTAAAAAAATGGACATTTTTTTTTTCAAAATAACCCTATTTGGATGCATCCACACAAAACAACCTAACAATTAATATATAAGATAATTGTATATAATACAGTGATGACATGATTAGGCATTACTGATAAACAAATTAATATCCCACTCAATGTTCATTCCATGGGGGAAAAAGGATTTAAGCTCATAGATCCAACGTGTCTCTAATTGAGACATCCCTCTCTTACAAGAACCACCATGCCATGGTGCCACATATTTGTCTATAGCTAAAAAAAAAGTCCCCCTTACATCTTTGTTATGATAGAGAGCAAAATGTTTTCCACTTTTACTAGAATATTGCATAAGTACCTGGTCAAATCCTTGCACTCCTTTCAACCAATCGACACCTGGCAAGCACATAACATAGGTACCAGAGACTGCACGCTTTTTTTTCCCATCCCTATAATTCATATGCCAGGCTAGACTATATTTTTGGACTCCAGTAACTCCAGTCCACTATATCTCTTCCTGTACATTTCAAGCAATAGGCCTTTCAGAATACCCCATACACATGGCCCTTAAATGTCTCATTAGTGTCTGATGCCATTTTTCTGCCAGGAAATGTCACAAATTATTGAGGAATATTTTTAACTTAATGCTACACCTGATATGGCTCCTACCACAAAGTTGTGCTACAAGGCCACTTAATTGGTCTAGCTGTGGCTCATAAAGAGAGATGGTGCAATAGATACACTCTGATTAAGGTACTTAGGAACTAAGGACTTCTTATATAAATGCCATGCCCTAATTCATTCAGAGTCATTGGCACAACAGATTTGCCCATAAATGCCAGGAAATTAAGCATGCTTCTGTCTGGTACAGTGATGGTGTTGAGCCAATTTTTTTACACAGTAATTCTGTATCCTCAAGACGTAAGCTGGACCAATGCCTACATCCCTTTCATGTGTATAAATTGTGTAATTCTTCAGATCAGTTTGCTACCTTTCCTAAGGATATCCTGCATGTGTTATCAGCTCCAACTGGTCTTCTACCTTTGTCAGCCTTAGCTTGGTTGGATATTATTCCTATCCCTACTTTATTGAGCTCTTAGCTAGAAACCCTTAACACCCCTTGTACTGCAGAAGAAATAGGGTCATCAAATCCCTTAAAACCTCTACAACTCTGGGTCTGGGCAGTTTTTCCCACTCTTTATTATAAAAATATTAATACATGTTAATATTGTAGCTTCCCCAACTATTCATTCTATTTAATTATACCTTAGATGGTAATTATTTCCCACAAGCAATGTTTTTTTAACAAATATGACACTTATCCCTAAATCAAATAAAGATAATTTTCCAAAAAAAATAAAAAATATAGACCAATCCCCTTTATTAATAATGACATGAAAATATTTAGCAAACTATTAGCGGACAGGTTGGGCCTCCATAATTTATTCCATTATTTCTTCATTTCAGTCTGGATTTAGCCCTGACAGGCTGATTACAGACAATATCTGCTAAGTGTCCAATGTTTGTCAGGGTGCCAATTTGCACTCCCAAGGCCTTCTTTTGTGAGTTTGGATATTCAGAAAGCCCTGAAAAAAAAAACTTTTGCAAATCACAAAGTTTAAGCAGAATGTTAGAAGGGATGAAAAAAAAAAAAAAAATGGCTACAGATATTCTGTAGCCTTTTTTTTTTTTTCCATCCCTTCTAACATTCTGCTTAAACTTGTGATTTGCATAGTACTGCTTGGATGGACTTTGAAGAAGGGGGGACATACCCCGAAAGCTTGTCCTCAAAATTGTATGTTAGTGCAAATAAAAAAAAAGTATCATGGACAGTACTCAATTGTTTCTGTCGCAAATGCACTAATACGGCTGCAATCACCTCAAGCAAAATGGCTTTTGTACAGAATTTTTTAGATGGGTTCCAGACGTTATACCACTTCCCCAAAACTGAAATTAAAATTCTGCATTGCTGCTCTGAGTTTTTTGCACTGGGAAGAGGTACCAGACTGGGGTGTCTAATTTCTCCTTTACCTTTTGCACTGGCCCTGAAGCCCCTATCAACTGCTATTACCCTACATCCAGATATACATGAGTAGCTATCCATACAAACTTTGTATGTATGCTGATGACGTGGTATTTTTCCTACAGCCTATTATATCTATGTGGGCTCTCTGTGAATTTTTACTAAATCCATGGCCATGCTGATTGGGGTACATGGGGTCCAGTGTGAAACTCTTCAGACCTCCTTCACCTTTATTTGGTGTCCAGATTATATTTATTACTTACAGTAGGTATATTACTTCAGATTTTTCTGAAAATTTTCAAAGTAATTATCCACCTCTAGTTTCTAAAAGCATGATCTTCCTATACTATTTCATTTTGGGCAGGATGGTGGCTATTGAAACATACTACCTAAAGTACTCTGTTTATTTAGAGCACTTCCAGACACTGTCCTCAGGGAATTTTTGAATGAAACAGTAATTCATAGATTCATCTGGTCGAACAGAAGAGCAAGATTTTTCACTCAAATTTTATACATCAACCTCATACCGCTGGTGGACTTGGCTTGCCACACTTTCGGTATTATTACTTATCTTTTAGGTTGACATAAATTGCACAGTGGAACTCATCTCAGTCCAAAGTACCAAGGATCAAATTTGAAGCTGCCTCTGTTTTGCTCTACCATCTCTCTGGCCTCCTGTGGTCTAGATCATTATCTCCTAGGGATTTATCCCTCCTTAATTCC